GAATAAAAAGAAAAATCAGATGTCAGATTTCTTAGGCTATATTTCTAACTACTTAATACAGCTTTTCAAATAATGAAAATGAGTATGACACTATTGCCATTAGCTATTCCAGAATGAAAGTCACTTAATACTGAAAATGTTGTTGTTTTGTTATGTGCTGTTGAGTCACCTGCAAGCTCTAGAGCCTGCCCTGTCCTGAGCCAGTTTCAATGACTCCTACACACCAACACTCATTGCCCCAGTTACTGTATTAATCCATCTCATCTGGGGTCTTTCTGTCCTGTACTCTCCTCCCTCCACCCTTTTGAGCATGATGTCCTTCTCCAAGGCCTGGTCTCTCCGGGCCACGTGCCCAAAGTATGTGATATGGAGCTTCAAAATCCTAGCATCAAAAAAGGAATTTGGTTTCACCCTCTCCAAGACAGACCTATTTGTTCTCCTGGAGGTCCATTCAATAATCTTCTCTCGCACCACAATTCAAAGGCATCGATTCTTCTTATGTCATCCTTAGTCACTGCCCAGCTTGCTTATGCATAGCAAGTTTCATTGTACAATCCTGAACTTAAAAGTCTGCTATCCCTCCTAAGAAGCAAAATTCCTGCTATTAGCAAGAGAAATAAGCAAAAAAGCAGATCTTGTTATTACCTTTGGGAGCTTGTATCTTTTTCATGGCTGTCATTGGTGGAGATTTCATCAAGTTGCTCTGGGAGAGGATGATGATTAAGAGCATGCTGTGTTATTTTTTTCCTGTGGAAAATAATAAAGCAAAGTTGTAATTCCTAGAAAGAAAAAAATACATACTTTTCAGTAACTTGATGTAGGAGTTACTTCTGCTGCTTTAGAATTTGTTGTTGTTGTTAAGTGCTATCAAGTCGCTTGCGACTGACTCATAGCGACCCTATATACAAGAACCCTAAACGCCGTTCTATCCGGTGCCAACCTTGCCGTCTCAGACACACTCATTCCCATCACTCCACTCACAGAATCGATCCATCTCACCGAGGGTCTTCCTCTCCTGCACCGTCCCTCCACTCTCCCAAACATGATGTCCCTTTCCAAAGACCAGTCCCTCCTTGCAACATGCCCAAATTATGTCAGATGAAGCTTCAGAATCCTTGACTCCAAGGAGCATTCTGGCTTCACCCTCTCCAGGACAAACCTGTTTGTTCTCCTAGCAATCCATGGAATATTCAACACTCTTCTCCAGCACCACAGCTCAAAGGCATCAATTCTCTTTCTATCATCCCTATTCACTGTCCAACTCTCTCATGCATAGCATGTAACTGCAAAGACTATAGCCTGGATCAGGCGCACCTTTAGAATTACACGATCCAATACAGTAGCCACCAGCATTTAAAATGATGAATTAGAATTGAGATATGCATACCTTAAGGGTAAAACATACTGTTTTCAAAATCTTAGCATTTAAAGTATAATAAGTTAATTCTATCTTTGTCCAGTCAGCTTCTGGGCTTAGTGGGGACTGTTCCCATGGTCTGCTGTTTCCTAATTACATAGTGTTAATTTGCCAGCTCCTTGTGAACGTCTTATGTGGCCAGGTTAACTGGACTTGATGGATGCAGCTAGCATCCATAGCTGGTTTGATGCCCTCATCCTATCAGTCTTACAGCTACTTGGAATCTCAGGACTACTTCTAAGACAATATGCGTATGCAGCCCAGGAACAAAGCATTGATACATGCAATAACCTGAATGATTCTGAAGGGCATTATGCTTACTGAAAAAGGTCGATCTTGGAAGGTTGGGATTTAGGATTCTACTCATATGGGTTCACACAGTTATAAAGAGGTAGAGATTCACGCCATCAGAGAACAGAAATAAGAATAAGGTGGGTGTAATAATATAAGGACATTTCTTAGTGGTGTTGGAAGAGCTTTGTTTGTTGGTGTCTTGATTGTTGGTGTCTACACAATCTATAAATGGAAACTGCCCAGAATCACACACACATAAACAAAATCATTTTAAAACTGATGACAACTGAGGAAGCCTGTAGTATGGTTAGCCAGACTGTACCAATTACAGATTCCTAGTTACGGTACAACTGTATAGTTAAATAACATGCATCAATAGGTGAGGCAAGGACCTCATACACTATTTTTGTAATTTCCTGTGTGTCTCTAATTATTTCAAAGTAAAAATTCGTTTAGGAAGGAGGACTCAGTACAATCTACACACTAGCATCTCTTTTCTCTCATCTCTGCAGACTAACTTGCATTTAACCTCTTGAGATAAAAAGAGACAGACTTAATATTGTTGCTGTTGTTAGGTACCATTAAGTTGCCCACGACTCACAGTGACACTATGTACATTAGCTCTGAATCCTGCCCTATCTTGAGCCAGTCGCATTGATTCCGACACATCTAGCTCCACTGCCCATTACTGTGCATTGCAGGCAACTTTTTTACTCTGATAACTTCCACCCCTCACCCCCCCAATTTATTGAGCTGTGGTGCTGGAGAAGAGTACTGAATATTCTATGGACTGCTAGGAGAACAAACTCTTTGGAAGCAAGGATTCTGAAGATTTTTCTGACATACTTTGGACATGTTGCTAGGCGGGACCAGTCTTTGGAGAGGGATGGCATGCTTGGGAGGTGGAAGGACAGCGCAGGAAAGACCCTCAATGAAATGGATCAATTTTGTGACTGGAGTAATGGGGGTAGTTGTGTCAATGACAATAAGATTGGCAAAGAATAGAGCAGGGTTTAGGGTTGCTGTACATAGGGTTGCTAGTCGATGACACCTAACAACAATCATGGTGGTGCTTACTGGTCCAGTTGTTTGAGTTTTTTGTTTCCTTGAAGTTGAGGTGCAATCCACATCGAACACTAGTCTGAACTTTAGCAGTCTTCATCTTCTGCATTCAGTTTCTGTTGCTGACAGGTGCTGTCAAATTGAGTATAACTCACAGTGACTCCATGTACAGATCTGAACCCTGTCCTAAGCCGTGCCAGTCTCATCATTTCTGACACACTTTAGCCCATTCCTACGGTAACTGTGTCAATCCAACTTGCTGAGCATCTTCTCTTTCACTGATCTTCTACCTTTCCCAGCATGATATCCCTTTCCAAGGAATTGCCTCTCCTAGTATTGTGAGACAAAGTTCCACCATTGTTGCCTCTAAGGAGCATTTTGGCTGCACTTTGTCTAATACATATTTGTTTGTTCTTTTGGCAGCCCATGGGATGATCAGTACTCTTCTCCAACACCACAGCTAAAAGGCATCAAGTCTTTTTCTGTCATCCTTATTCATTATCCAGCTCTCAGACACATAGCAAGGGACTGAAAAGATCATGCCCTAAATCAGGTGCACTTTGGTCTTCAAACTGACATAATTAATCCTCAGTAATTTGGAGAGGTCCCTGACAGTAGATTTGCCCAATGAAACTTATCTCCTGATCTCCTGACAGCTAGTAACCAAGGGTGTTGATTGTGGATCTTGTTGTTGTTATGTGCCGTCGAGTCACCTGCGACTCATAGCGACCCTATGTACAACAGCCCTAAACTCCGCTCTGTCCTGTGCCAATCGCACCGTCTCTGACACTCCCATGCCAATTATCCCAGTCACTGAATCAATCCACCGCATAGGGGGCCTTCTTCTCCTGCACTGTCCCTCCACCCTCCCAAGCATGATGTCCCTCTCCAAGGACCGGTCTCTCCTCACAACATGTCCAAAGTATGTTAGACGGAGCCTCAGAATCCTTGCCTCCAAGGAGCCACCCGGTTTAACCCTTTCCAGGACAAATCTGTTTGTTTTCCTAGCAGTCCATGGTATTCTCAATACTCTTCTCCAGCACCACAGCTCAAAGGCATCAATTCTCCTTCTATCCTCCTTGGTCATTGTCCAACTCTCTGATGCATAACAAGTGATTGGGAAGACCAAAGCCTGTATCAGACGCACCTTAGTCTCCAGAGAGACACCATTGCTCTTCAGTACTTTGGAGAGGTCCCTAACAGCAGACTTTCCCATGGCAATGCGCCTTTTAATTTCCTGGCTGCTGGTGCCAAGACTGTTGACTATGGAGCCAAGCAAACTAAAGCTGTGTACAATCTCAATCTCTTCACCATCCATCCTGATGCTGCCAATTGGTCTAGTGGTGAGAATCTTTGTCTTCTTGACATTGAGCCTCAATCCATATTGTAGGCTGCAGTCCTTGACACTCTGCGGCAGGCGCTTCAGGTCCTCTTCAGTTTCAGCAAGCAGGGTTGTGTCATCCGCATAACGCAGGTTATTGATAAATCATCCACCAATCTTGACCCCACATTTCTCCTCACAGAGCCCAGCCTCCCAGATAATCTGTTCTGCATATAGGTTGAAAAGGTATGGAGATAGGATGCATCCCTGGCTTACGCCCTTCCCAATTTTGAACCATGCAGTGTTCCCTTGCTCTGTTCTGACGACTGCCTCCTGGTCCAAGTATAAGTTTCACATTAGAATGATCAAGTGTTCTGGGATTCCCATTCTTCTCAGAGTCAGCCGGTGACAATTTCAATCTTTTCTCAGTCTTTCACAATGCAGTGATGAAGATTTTTGTCTTCTTGATGTTGAAGTGAAGTCCATATTAAGGGCTTTAGTCTTTAATCTTCTTCAGCAAATATTTCAAGAACTCCTCACTTAAGGCAAAAAAAGGATGTGTCATCTTCATAACAACAGGTTATTAATGAGTCTTCCTTCAATCCTGAGGCCACATTCTTCTTCATAGCCTAACAGTTTCTTGGTCTAGGCATGGGTTTCCAGTCACTGTAGCACTCAGTTATTAATTATTTTTCGAGCTGTCCAAAGTCATGATCAGTGGTGAATGAAGCACATCGGTAATTACAAATGTCAAAAGAGGGCCAAGTTCTAGAACAGCACAGGTGACACAGGTGACACGCCCTCGTCTGGAGCCTGAGGTGCCCAGGGGCCGGCGCAGGACTGGGAGGGGAGAACACTTTTATTTCAGCCCAGGAAAAGGAAAGGATCATGCGCTCGGGGAGGGGCCCCGACCACCTGTAGCCGCTTCAGAGTCCCCCAGCCCCGGCAAGGGCAGCGAAGCAGCCTACTCACAGTTCCACGCTCTGTGGCGCCGTCTTTCGCGTGTACCTGGAGATCATTCTCCTCTTTCTCCCGAGTCGTGGCAAGGGAGTGCACGCCAGGATGGGGGCCTCCGGGTCTGGCCCTCCAGCCAGCTCCGGCCCGGCCCCCTCCCGCCACCTTCCGGCCCCGTCTCGCCCCGTCGCCTAGACTCCGGGCTGCCTGCCACCTCCCTCAACTTTCCGCCTTTCCAGTTCTCTGTTCCCCCTTCTTCCCACGAGAGCGGAAATGACGACAGGGCCGGGGCCCCAGCCTAATGCGCCCGCCGGCTCGCGGCAGTGACGAGGTTTGGAGGTTCCGGATTTTACAGAGTTCCCGAGTTTCTCTTTGCGCTTTCCTGGCTTCACAGGTCCTTCGGCGGGCGTTGGGACAATCCTGGGCCGGGGTTAGGCGGCTGGAGCGGCTGAAAATCTCCTGAGGCAACTTCCGGACTGGGCTCTTACGACGTGGAGGAGCGGCGGCGGCCAGGTGCAGATGGTGGGAGATGGTCTTTCTGGTCCTGCCTGAAAAAAAGGCATTGAGATCTGTGTCAAGCTCCTGATTCTTGGCCCCTTCTCTCCTTTGCTCCTGGTTTTCTTGTCTGTAGAGTGAGTAGTTCGAATCATCGTCCCGTTCTCACATTGAGAAATTTCGTGAAGGCATGCTTGGCGTTGGGCAGTAGGGTTGGGTAGAATTCTTGTCTTTCTGAGGTTGAAAGGCTAATTTATTTGGACAGGTTATGTTGAGTGGTGTCTGCATAGAAGACGATCTCGCCCCATTAATCTGTTAGTAAAGTGTTAAGCATCCAGTCGCGGCATGAGTTTGATCCATCCAGAACAGTACCTTTATTTACTAAGCGCCAAGCCTTGGAAGGATGGAAAGTGTTATCACTTTTCCCCCTAAATCGTGATGGAATGCTCATTTAGGAATTTTTCTGACCAGACTTTGCAACTGCTTTTGCATTCTGATGCTCTGGGAAATGAGGTTATGATGAGAAATAACACTAGTTTTAATGAGAACTTTGGAGAACAAAACTACCTTTAAAATTTTGTTAGGGTCGTGTTGGAAGCGACTTCTAGCTGGAGCTCCAGCGCATTTTCCAAGGCTGTAAATCGCACAGGAGATATTGACAGCATTTAGCACCCCCAACTCTTTATGGCTTATACCACCAGAGCTCCTTCCTCTAGATACACCAGAACTGTGTCTCTGAAAAAAAGCAACAGATTTACAGCAAGTAATTGTAGAATCAAGAGGCCTTGGTCATATTGTATTATTTTTTTGAGAATTTTTACTTTGGGAGAGGTGATAGGATATGAATGATTTGTAATGTTTTGTTCATTTATGCCTTACAATGCTTATAAAAAGGATATGCTTGAATTATGTAGACCAAAGAAGATGGCTCTTAATAGCTTTTAAATTATAAACTTATAAACCAGGGCAGGGTGTTAGAGATGGTAGAATAACACCTTTATTCTAACATTGAAGAAAAGTCTAAGAGAGTGAAATATCCATAGTGACATATTAGTTGCAATGGTATTACAGAGTTTTTCAGAGTGTGTTCCACACACAATTGCTAGTATAAAGACAAGCATTGTAAAGTTTATTCTTTGATAATAATCAGCTAATTTGGAAAAATTATACTGGATTTGCAACACTGCATGGTTCAAAATTGGGAAGGGTGTACGTCAGGGATGTGTCCTATCTCCATACCTTTTCAACCTGTATGCAGAGCAGATTATCCGAGAGGCTGGGCTCTATGAGGAGAAGCGTGGCGTTAGGATTGGTGGATGATCTATCAACAATCTGTGATAAGCAGATGACACAACCCTGCTTGCTGAAACGGAGGAGGACCTGAAGCGCTTGCTGCAGAGGGTCAAGGACTGCAGCCTCCAATATGGATTGAGGCTCAATGTCAAGAAGACAAAGATTCTCACCACTGGACCAATTGGCAGCATCAGGATGGATGGTGAAGAGATTGAGATTGTACACAGCTTTAGTTTGCTTGGCTCCATAGTCAACACTCTTGGCACCAGCAGCCAGGAAATAAAAAACATATTGCGATGGGAAAGTCTGCTGTTAGGGACCTCTCTAAAGTACTCAAGAGCAGTGGTGTCTCTCTGGAGACTAAGGTCCGCCTGATACAGGCCATGGTCTTTGCAATCACTTGTTATGCATCAGAGAGTTGGACAATGACTAGGGAGGATAGAAGGAGAATTGACGCCTTTGAGCTGTGGTGCTGGAGAATAGTATTGAATATACCATGGACTGCCAAGAAAACAAACAGATTCATCATAGAGAGGGTTAAACCAGGCTGCTCCTTGGAGGCAAGGATTCTGGGGCTTCGTCTGACATACTTTGGACATGTTGTGAGGAGAGACAGGTCTTTAGAGAGGGACATCATGCTGGGTAGAGTGGAGGGACAGCGCAGAAGGGGAAGACCCTCTATGAGGTGGATTGATTCAGTGACTGGGGTAATCGGGATGGGTGTGTCAGAGGCAGTGAGATTGGCACAGGATAGAGCAGGGTTTAGGGCTGTTGTACATAGGGTTGCTATGAGTCGCAAACAACTCGACGGCACATAACAACAACAACAACATCTTGATTGATTTACATAGCTTGTATAAAAGTCCTCATAAAAAATGTTAAATAATTAGCACTGTAATTGATATATGGTCAAGGAAAAATTATCATGTGGTATATTAATAACTGAATTTTGGAAAACCGTTTTGAAAGAATTACCTAGAAGAGGGCAGAGTGTTAATTTTGCATTGTTCTCAGTGGTTTATAGAATTGACACTTTGAATATTATTTTCATAGAAGAATGGAGGAAAATTTGAAGCTTGCTTCAGTGGAAGATGCTGTGGAATATCACCTGTTCCTTATACCAAATGAACCCAGGAACCCAGAAAACCAGAAAGAGATTCTCATGAAGTATATTGAGAGAATAATGACCCAGTTTGCACCCATGCTGGTCCCCTATATCTGGCAGAATCAGCCTTTCAACCTCAAATACAAACCTGGGAAAGGTAAACCTCTTTTTTATTTTTTTTAAATTGTGATTTGAATGGAAGTTTACAAAGCAAATTGGTTTTTCCTTCTAACTCCTTTATTTTATAACATTAATTATAGCACAATGCAGTCACACTTTTCTCAGTTCTTCCCTTTAGTTCTCACCTCCATTAATCCTTCTAGAAGCCCTGGTGGCAAAGTGAGGTGTGTAGTAGGCTATTTCCTCCCAGGGCTCCTGCTGCTCTGCTTCTGGGTCTCCTAATCCATTTAATGACCACAAAGACCCAGATTCACAATTACAGGCTCTTAGGGAAGGACTTAAAAAATCCTACATACAATAGAACATGCTTAGGTTTAACTAGCAGATATGGCACCAGAGGCTGAGCCCTTGTACTGGGAACACTGGAATAATGGGGAGTAGGTATGTTGGAGACAGTGAGATTGGCTCAGGATACGGCAGGATTCAGAGCTATTTTGCATAGGGTTGCTATGAGTCATAGTCACATAACAACCACAGCAGGAGAGAAGTTAATCAGAGGTCTGGTGGCTGAGGTTAGAATCCACTAGGGAGAAGGATGGGCAATCTTCTGCCTCTGAAAACCTGCTGGAGAGTCAGCTATGAGTCGGTTCTGACTTTTATGGCAAAACAACCACAACAGGGAAGTTAATCAGGTTGCAAACAGAATCTAGTTCTTCCATCATGACAGCTTCTCAAGCAGGCCATTTGACCTTTGGCTTTGTTACTTCAAGTCAGTGTTACAAAGCTTTCTTGTCATTATTAGATGCAGTCAAGTTGAATATGACTCATAGCGCCTCCATGAACAACAGATCTGAACCCTTTCCTTTCTTGTACCATCCTCACAATCTTTGGCACACTTGAGCCCACTGCCACAATCACTGTGTCAATCCACCAGGCTGAGGGTCTTCCTCTCCCTCCACCTTCCGTTAGGTACCGTTGAGTGCCCTACCACTCATAGTGAACTTATGAACAGCACTAGGCCACCAGAGCTTCTCTACATAGTTGTATCTATCTTAATATGTGCGACTTTTAATGTCATCCTGATAGCAATGATATATAGAAGTTATCATTGACTCATTCTTGTAAGAAAGCAAGTTGTATTATGAGTTTTTTATATCAAAGATGCTTGCCTCTATTCAGGTACGCTCTTAAAAATTGTTTTAACAGTCAGATTGATGAGAACCTAACCATCATTCCCTCCGACGCTAGCATATATTCAACATTATGGTGAGACTTTGTCTCACATACTTTGAGCATGTTTTTAGAAGGGGCAAGTCTTTAGAAAAAGGCATCATGCTGGAAAAAGTGGAGGGTCAGGGGAAGAGAGGAAGACTCTAAACAAGATGGGTTGACACAGTGATGGTAACAGTGGGCTCTAGCATAAAGGTGAGGGTAAAGGCGAGATTCAGATCTGTTGTTCTTAGGGTCGCTGTGAGTGGTTGTACACTCAATGGCACCTAACAACAACTGCATGCCATAATAAACTTTTTCAGGAAATTTGCCTCCTTAGCCATGGTTCCTTTTGTTGCCACTCAGAATTTATCATCCTTGTGATGTAGCTGCCTTGTTTCATGTAGTTGTTTGGATGAGGATCGAAGAGTAGCTCAGTTTGGCTTATGAGAGGAAGAATTAGGGTTTATGACCACTGTTTACTAAGTAGGGAGTTCTGGTGGTTTAATGATAACAAATTGCACAGCCAACACAAAGGTAAGTGCTTCAAGTCCACCAGCTGTTTTGCAGAGAAAGATGGGCAATCTCCTCCTGTGTAATTTATTGCCTCTGAAAACCTGCCGAGGGCGGGGGTCAGCAATGAGTTTGCAGAGAGAGATGGGCAAGTCTCCTCCCATGTGACTTATTGCCTCTGAAAACTTGCTAGGGGGTCAGCTATGAGTCTTCTGACTCGATGGTGCATGGCAACAATGTTTATCAACCACTTGCGATGATTACTTGATGATTACTTTCCAGTTACTTGCTATACATATGAATTTTTAACAGTGAATAAGGATGACAGGAGAAGATATGGAATATGGGAGAAGAGTACTAACTTTCTCCTGGACTACCAAAAGAATAAACATCCGTCTTGGAGAAAGTACAACCAGGACTTGCTATACATCTGAACGTTTAACAGTGAATAAGAGATGACAGGAGAAGATATGGGATATGGGAGAAGAGTACTAACTATCTCTTGGACTACCAAAAGAATAAACAAATCCATCTTGGAGAAAGTACAACCAGGGTGCTCCTGAGAGGCAAAGATGGTGACACTTTGTTTCTCATATTTGGGCATGTTGTTAGGCAAAGCTAGTCCTTAAGAAAAAGATGTCATGCTAGGAAAGGTGGACAGTCAGCTTAAGAGCAGAAGACCCTCAACAAGTCAGTAACAACAGGCTCGACTATATAGGGATGATGAAGCTGACACAGGGTTCAGATCCATTGTTCATAGGGTCACTCTAAGTCATAACTGGCTGGACAGCACCTAACAATTTGCTAATCAGAAGAACTTTGAGATTTTCTCACTGCTTTCTTCCCTGTTGTTTATACTTGAAGTTTGTCCTCTGGCCACATATAGTACTTTGTTGTATCGTTTCTTATGTTGTCATTATGTACCCTTGAGTTGGAACCAACCCATAGCTGACCCTCCAGTGGGTTTTCAGAGGCAGTAAATCACACAGGAGGAGATTGTCCATCTCTCTCTGCAGAGTAGCTGGTGGATTTTTGCATTGGCACATACCTTTGCATTGACAGCACAGTTCCTTGCCACTAAGCCACCAGAGCTCCCTTTAGCTTTTTAAAATGATTTACAGGCAGGTGACCAAGACTGTATCCACCCTGTGATTTATATGAATTCTTCACTGGGATTAGGAGCTTGGGCATGTTTTGCCACTGCCATACTGGTTCGTAATGCTGTGCTTCTCTGTGGTATTTTGGCAAGCAGCTGTTAGATGTCTTCCTTACTGTTATTGATTGAATTATAAAAATCAAACCCACTGTCACTGAGTAGATTCTGACTTATAATGACTCAGCCCGACAGGACAGCGTTTACTCTACCCCAGAGGATTTCTGTCACTGTAAATCTTGGAAGCCCATTGCTGTGGCTTTCTCACAAGGATCAGCTAGTACATTGAACAGTTGGCCTATCAATTAGCAGTCTACCACTTAATCCAGTTATGACCTCCCTCCCTGAATAGATATTATAAATCCTAACACTTAGGCCTGTGGTTATTATCTATCCTTGAGAAGTTAATGAGATAGGATTAGTGTACCATGTATTTTGAATCAATCTCTTGGGATATTAAAGAGATTAAACAGATGAGAAGTAGAGGTGAGGGGAGAGAGATATCAAGGTGATCACCCAGGGCCAGAAGCTCAAAGAGACTAGGACTTTCCTGCAGAGCCACCAAAGATAGACAGCCTTTTTTAAGAGCCAGCACTTCAATTCAGACTTCTAGCCTTCTAACCTGTGAGAAAATAAATTTTTTAAAATAAAATTACTGGTGAGCTTTGGTGGCCTAGTGACAAGAAGCTACACTGCAATCTCAGAGGTGCATGGTTCAAATCCACCAGATGCTCTGCTGGAGAAGGAGGGACAATCTCCTCCTATACCAGTCAGATCTGATTTGATGGTACTCACAAAAGAAAATAATAATTAAAAAAATCAAACTACTCACTTGTGATATTTCTGCAACAGCAACACTAGAAAACTGAGGTGTCTTTTGGTAGTTTATTGAATACCTGTTCATTGGGCAAGAACACTGTCAAATTAGCACAGCTATCTCGAATAACTTTTCTTTGGAACATCATTTTTTTGCCTTGCATGTTCACATTTTGTGTAAGCTAATTAATTGTTCAGAGTCATTATTTCATACTTTGCATGTTCAGCCAGTCTCTTTTTCTATATCTGTTTGGCTGTAATAAAACCTCAAACCTCATTGCCATCAAGTCGGAACTGACTCTGCTGACTGACCACTGGGTTTGCAAGACTGTATATCTCATAGGTGAGATTGCCCATCTTTCTCCAGAGGTGCACCTGTAATTAGGGCCCTCTTTATCTCTTTATCTGGAAATTCACAGTAGTCTCCTATCTAACCACTTTGCTTCCTATCTCTCCTATTCTTACATTGTTGAAAGTTACCTTTGGAAAACACAAATTTAATGTCATCTCTTATGTGACATCCTTTTAACAGTTCTCCATTGCTCCAAGATGAAGTTTATATTGAAGTGTAATATATAAAGTACTCATATTAGTACTACTCTAGTTGAGGAAACTAGGGATCATTAAATTGAAAAGAGTTGGGTTCTTCCAACCTGTTTTGGTTTTTGATATTTTGTTGTTTTGGGGGTTTTTGTTTTTGTTTGGCAGTTCTGAATACACTCTATTATATACTTGAAAATTTCTGCATCAAATCTAGTCTCTAGTTACTCCCAGGACGTGCTCTTATTTGCCATGCCTCTGTGCCCTTGCACATGTTTCTTCTTCCTAGAATCCTACCCCAGGTTATTCGTCCAGAGCACTCACCAATCACCTCCCTTTGTGTTTAGGGATCTCTGCTGGTATAGTCTGTAAGGAGTTGCCTGGCTTACCCAAAAGTGGCACCGCTAGAAGTTGGAATCCACCAGCAGCCCCACAGGAAAAAGATGGAAATCTCCTGTTCAATTTCCAGACTCTGAAAACCCACTGGAGGGTCAGCTATGAATTGGTTCCACCTCCAGGCAAAAAGAGAGAAAGTTGCGTTTACACAGTCCTTAGAGCATATCTAATCATCTCAGTTTGAATGATTTAATTGTTTCCTTCTCACTTTAGATCCTGCTTTTTTCATAAATAAACATTTTATATCTTGTTCAAGGTTGCAACCTCAGCACTCAGTACGGTCTCTGGAGCATAGTAGTAAGTCAGTGACTGTTCAATTGGAGAATCACATGTATTTTGATTTACAATGACTTTTATTTATAAACATTAAGCTGCTAATATGGTTACGTTTCTCTTGTTTTTAGGCGATATTCCTGCTCATATATTTGGCATGACCAAATTTGGAGATAACATTGAAGATGAATGGTTTATTGTTTACATAATAAAGCAGATTACAAAGGAATTCCCAGAGTTAATAGCAAGGTACTGTAATTATTTTCCTAATTCTAGTTTTTCTATCATGGAAACTTAAGTAATTGCATTTTTGTTATTTCAATAATCTTTATGTTGTTGTTTATGGCAGTGAGTCCACCATAACTCATAGCAACCCTGTAAACAACAGATCAGAACTTTGCCCTGTCCTGCACCATCCTCACAGTCTCCACCAGGTTCACATGACCGTCACTGTGCCAGTCTATCTGATTCAGGACCTTCTGAACTTCCACCTTTCTTAGCATGATGTCTTTTCCCAACTACTGGTCCATCCTGATTAAGATGTTCAAAGTATGTAAGATGAAGCTTCACCATCCTTACCTTTCAAAAGCACTTGGAGTGCACTTTCTCCAGGACACACTTGTTTGTTCTTTTGGTAGTCCAGGGGATATTCAGTACTCTTTTCCCAACACCTCAATTTAAAGTGATTGATTCTTCTTCAGTCATCCTTAATCATTCATTGCCTAACTTTCAGATGCATAGGAAGCAGTTGAAAATATGATAGCTTAGATCAGCCATACCTTAGTCTATAAACTGACCTCCTTGCTCTTTATAACTTTGGAGAGGTCTTTGGCAACAGATTTTCCCAATGCAGCATGTCTTTGGATTTTTTTTAACTGCTGTTACCATGTGAATTGATTGTGGATCCGAGTAAAATGAAATTCTTGACATCAGTCTTTTTTCCATCTATCATGATCTTTATTGCTCTAGTAATTATGATTTTTGTTTTCCTGATGCTGAGAAGTAACTCATATTGAAGGATGTATTGCTCTTCTTTAAGAAGTACTTCAGGTCTTCAATTTGTGCAAATAAGATTGTGTCAACTGCATGACACAGATTGAATGATAGAATACTACCTGTAAGCATACACAAATGACCTTGCAATACAACTATTCTTCAAATATACACACCAACCACTAAAGCCAAAGATGAAGAAATTGAGAATTTCTGCCAACATTTTTTCTTTTTTTCTGCCAACTTTTGCACTCCGAAATTGATGAAACATGCAATCAAGGCACATTAATAATAATTGGTGGCTAGAATGCAAAAACTAGAAGCACCAAAGACCAGAAATTGGAAAACTAAATGAGTCTGGAGATCAAATGATAGACTAATATGCAATGAGTGATTTATTCATGGTAAATACTTTTGAGTTGGATGATCATATATTACTCTGGAGATGAAAAGGTGAGAAAAAATGGAGTTGCTTTCATAGTTAAGAAAGTCATTGCTAGATCCATCTTGAAGTACAATATTGTGAGTGACAGGATAATATCCATACGCATACAAGGAAGTCCAGTGAATACCACTATTGTTCAGATGTATGCACCAACAACCAGAGCCAAGGAAGAGGATATAGATTTTTACCAACTTTTACAATCGGAGCTCGATCGAACATGCAATCAAGATGCATTGATAATAATGGGTGACTGGAATGCAAAAGTTGGGAACAGAGAAGAAGATTCAGTAGTTGGAAAACATGGACTCAGTGACAGAAATGGAGCTGGAGAGAGAATGATCGAATTTTGCACAATCAATGACATTCATAGCAAATACGTTTTTTAAGACACATAAATGCAGGTTATATACATGGATTTCTCCTGATGGTATGCATAGGCATCAGATTGATTACATCTGCGGAAAGAACTGCTGGAAAAGCTCAATATCAGCTGTGAAAACTAGGCCAGGAGCTGATTGTGGAACAGACCACCAACTACTCATGCGAGTTCAAGCTGAAGTTAAGGACAATTAAACCAAATCCACGGCAACCAAACTATCAGTCTATCCCACCTGAATTTCAGAATCATCTCAAGAACAGGTTTGAGGCCTTGAACACTAATGAGCAAAGACCAAATGAGTTGTGGGAGGATATCAAGGGTATCATCCAGGAAGAGTGCAAAGGGTCATTGCAAAGACAGAAGAGGAAGAGAAGACCAAAATGGATGTCAGAAGAGACTGGAAATTGCACTGGAGCGCAGAGAAGACAAAGCACAAGGAAGAATTCAAGATACTAAAGA